GGCTCTGCTAGCAAACCGCCGCTCGGCACCCGGGGAAACGCATCCCAGGTTTCCCTACGAAGGCGAAGGGCCAAACTGCCTCTTCCCAACGCGGAGAGGAGCCCTCTGGTCTGGGAAAGGCGACCAGATGCTTTGCTTTGAGCTGCAGCCACGCGCACGTGCGAAACTGCATTTTAAAAAGCACTTGGCCTGCCGGGTGCTGTGTGTGACTGACCCTTTTCCAGGCCTCGTGCAAAGCACGAGCATAAACCACTTTGGTTAGGAAACCCCGAGACCGCACATTCACCACATCAGCTGAGCGCGCTGGGGAAGGGAAAAAGAGGGGAAAAAAAAAAAAAATCCACAGATTTCCAGCCCACAAGCCTTTTTTCAGACCTAAAATTGATTAAAATGAAGCCAGCAATCTGCCCGTTTCTATTTAAGACCTGGAAAAGGACTTGTGAGCCCAAAAGCTCATCTGCTTTGGAGCTTCCCCCCGCCGCTCCCCGCCCAACCATATCAGTTGCTCTAATAAAAGATATGACCTCTCCCTTCAAACCTCGTCTCACTTATATCCTCAGACTGTCACGGTTACACCGGTACAACTACTACCAGCATTGATTTCTCCTTCGGCTGGAAGGAGCGGCGAGGTCTCCAACTGCGCTATCGCTCAGCCGAGGAGCGACAAGGTTACAACTCACCCAGCTGCCGCTTAGCCCTCCAAAAAAAAAAAAAAACGAGAATTTATGGTCCAAACCTGCCTCAGTGCCCACATTTCTGCTCGTGGCCAGCTGGTTAGGTCTTCCCACCCCGCTCCCAGCCTTGCGCGCAGCGCAAACCCAGGGCGTTCAGCCAGCACCGCTGCTAGGAGCTCCTTGCAACGGGAGACTCCTTGCAAGTGCAAAAGCAAGGCTCGGGTGCAAGCAAGGCAGGGAACCGAGGCTAGAAAGCAGGAAAAGCGCCAAAGTCCAGGTGGTTTGCATCGGAGAAGGCTATCACGCACTCGCGCGTGTCCACACACATACGATGCCGCTGGAGGCAGCGCCTCTCCTGACGCCTCCTCCCCAACTCGGAGCAACGATGGAGGTACCAATCCCAAGAAGGAGGCCGAACCCAAGGACTTGGCCAGCAGCAGAGACCCCAACCTCCCCAAGACCCCTCACGGTCTTCATCTTAATCCTCTGTGTTTTCTAAATACCCACTGGAGGTTTGCTCCCCTCCTCCCAAGCTTGTTAATGAATATTGCTTACCAGCGGCCCAGCAGGCTCAAGGTCCCTTCAGAGCATTGCTGCGACAGCTCTTAGAAAAACGTGAGTTAAATTAAAAAGGCTCCCCAGGAAGGGATGCTGGGGAGGGGAGGCAGCGGTCCTCCAGCCAACAGGAAGAATGCTTTTTCTCCCCCATTTCTAAGCCAAATCAAAGCCGAGCGAGTGATGCTGACCCCTGCTACGTAGACCTTCGTGGCTACAGCCCAAGCAGGTCCTGGGGACTCCGGACTCCTGGGTCCCCTTTGGCCCTTTCACTGCAAGTGGGAAGAGTGGGGGACGTGGGCACAGCTCCGCGCTGGCGAGCGCGTTCGGATGTGCAAAGCGAGCACCGGCCAGCCGGCGCTGCCCCATGCAAACCCCAAGGAGATGCCCTCACCCAAGCACGGGAGCCCGAATTCATTCGAGTTTCCCGATGGACTCGGCAGAGGCACAAACCTTTGCGGCTGGCAGGGCTCGGCGAGCGAGCAGATCCCCAGAGAGACGGAGCGGAGAAAGAAAGCAGAGAGACTCCTGCCAGCACAGCGGGGTCTCAGCCGTGCCACGAGACCACGAAACACCAGGCCACCACGCTGGGGACACTAGTGTCCTGCTCACCGGCGTGCCACTGCATGCAAAAACTGCAACGAATGACCCACCGGGGACCAAAACACCGTTGACGGATGGGGGAGCATGGTCCTGCAGACCGGGTCTCCCCGGGGCGCTGAGCCCCCGGCCTCTCAGCCGGCGCAGGGAGGGCAGGAGGTGCCCAACGCTCCTGCATATCAGGCTCTCCGCACCAGTTCCTCCTCGCTCCCAGCAGGGAAAGACTAAAATGCACGGTCAAAACCATCCATCAAGCCCTGGCTGGGCAGCTCCGCTCCCGCTCAGGACGGTTCCTGCGGGAATTACGGCGAGGAGCCACCGATCGCGGGTCGCCCAGCTCCGCGCTGTCCCCCCCTCCGTGCACACGCCTTCGGCGAGAGGAGCACGGCAGCGCGGCCCAAGCTGTTACCGGATTAGCGATGTAACAGGATGCCCGAGAAACAGCTCGCTGAGCCCCCGGCAGCCCCTTCCCAAGGGAAATTAAATCCAGCAAACGCAGGGATGGCAGAGCACAGGCCGCGGCCAGCGGCGACGGGAGAGAGCGGTGCCCGCTCCTGCCAAGCCGGGGCAGCGCCGG